CTTCTTCGGCTCGGCAGCAGAGGACGGTTCTGAGGCCTTAGCCTTCCCTTTCCTCTGCGCCGAGACTTCGGGCTGCTGCCCTTTCGGCTTCTCAATTCTCGGACGAGACTGAGACCTGGATCTGTTCCACTCCTCGGCTCGGATGAACCTATCCGATGCTTCCAAGGCTTCCTCCAGGGTCTGCGGGGGATGCATGACCATGAAGTCCAGGAACTTTCCAGCTTGGAGGCCGTTCCGTAGCGCGAACACGGCCAGGCCTTGATCCAGGCTTGTGATTCCGGATGACTCGTTGCTGAAGCGAGTCAGATAGTCGCGGAGGCTCTCGTCCTCCGCCTGCTGCAGACTCATTAGCTCTGCAGTGGTCTTCTCTCGGCGGTTGGCCGTAGAGAATTTGCTCTTGAACTTGTTGGAGAGGTCGTTCCAACCGGTTATGGAGCCTTCCTTGAGCCCTTTGGTGATCCAGGATTGGGCAACACCTTTGAGGGTCGTAGGAAAGTATTTACACCAGGTAGCCTCAGACCTCGGGTTCAGATACATGTGCCCCTCGTAAGAGGCAATGTGATCCTTAGGATCTGAGGTACCATCGTAGGTAATATGTGCCGGGATTTTGACCGTTGGCACATGCTCTTCCAGAATCCACTTCTGGAAGGGCGAGTTCGATGGAACCATGACCGCCTTCCCCTTGTACCCGGCCTCAGGGACCTCGCTCCCTCCTCTCTCAGAGGTGGAAGTGGTTTTCGTCCCCGGCTGAGACAAGGTTGGGTGGGGTCCGGTATCCTCTGGGAAGGTGAGGCGGCTATGCACACTCACCTCCCTCGAACCCAAGCGTTCATGAACGCTTTGGCGGGCGAATTCCGGGTCCTTGGAGGGCCCCATGGAATTCTGAGCTTCGGAGTGGTCAGAGGGTTGAGGGTTCCTCCTCCTCTCCTTACTGGAGTTTCGGGTGTCCCCTCGCCACCTCTGGCCGAGCTGTCTATGTGGTGGAACTTGTCCACCATCATCCTGACCGATCCTCCTTTTCAGGTTTCTCGGCTGGTGATCATCAGGCATCTGGATTGGAGCCCCTTGAGCTTTAAGGAACTCCATGCAGATGGCCACTGCTCTGGCCACTTCCTCGGTGGAGGGTCCGGAGGGAGGAGTCTCCCGCGGATGTGACCTGGATTGCACGCTATGGCGCGGCGGGGAGTTCCTCGCACCTGAGCCACTCGGTCTCGGGGATGGCCCCGGCTGCCGAGTGTGGTGCGAGGTGTTCTCCTCCTGGAGGCTAGGACCTCTTGAGGCTTCCCTTTCCGGAGAAATGGGGGCCTCCGATTCGGAAGAGGCTTGCTCCGGGGAGGGATAAACCGGCTGGCGTTCCCTCACCGTAATCCGGCCTCCTCCCTTCTTAGCCTTCTTGGAACTCTTTCCACTCTTAGTCATGGCGACTGCCGGAGTGTTTGATGACTGACGCGAAATTTAGTAGCGTTCCCCACAGACGGCGCCAAATTGTTTCGGATGAAAACAATCGAATCTCGGAAGATCCTTTTATCTTGAGGGAACTTGGTCTCGGTCCGAACGACGCAGGAGCCGAGGGTTTCCTGCACAACAAATACACGTAAACTAGCCTCGGGGGGGACGCCGAGGAAGGCCCCTCCGATGCTTAAGTCAGTATATTAGAGAGAGACAGCTGTGCAAGAGTTTAGTTGCTTGAGGCTTTATTGTCTTACCAAGAATTGACCAAATTGTTGGCTTTTATACCTTGGCTAATGAAGGAGGCGGATTGGGCCCGGAAGTCAGTTGGGCTGGGCCAAGCTGATTGGGCCGTTGACTGACCTTGACATGGCTTTGAGGATGTTGATTTTTGACTTTAGCACATTTGGAGAGTTGAACCTTAACCTTGGGCTTTTAATTGGATCATTCAGTGACCAGGCCCAATTGGACTAAATTGGACCCAAACAGATGGTTATTAAGAACACAATATATATAAAGGCAATGAAGATTAGGGTGAAAAGAGTCCAAAAACTGCATGGAAAGGTTTGGTATCATGGCCATTCTAGTGTACTTTGTGGGTCCTTAATATGGAGGGGCTTCCAGAAGGGGCTAACTACCTAAAATATCAATAAGAATGTACATAACATAAGGTGTAATTTGTAAGTGTGAATCAATTTTAAGTCTTTTAACTAGTTTATCTCTCGTTAAAACTTAAAAGTATTCACCTGATTTGGTAATCGGCTTTTATACGTCATGTAGTAATACAATTAGAATTGTGTTGGATTAAGGATAGGTTTATCTAAAGTACAGTGTTTTAGCCAAAATAAAAGACTAATTGAAGCAAATTTTTCTCAATGGCTTTTGATAGTTTTGGCTTATTATTTAATTAGCACATAATAGTAAGCAATTAACAATTGATATTATCAAAAAATAAATAAATAAATAAATAAAAATAAAAAAAAACAATTGATATTATCAAAACAAATTTGAAAACGATCAATACAAATAGTTAGACCTACTCGATCACAAACCCTAAAAATTGCTAATAGCTTTAGTTGGCCACACTAGCCAAGTAAAATAGTTAATTAAATTAAAAAACATTTGTCATTTGAGATCCTAGAAAATAACTCTATACACATACTCCTCAAGCCCTCATCCTAATAAACAACCCTTTCTATGTCTTAATAGGTTAAGATGGTTTGTACCTTCCCAAATAAATATTTAAATGGAATCTCAATATTGCTTTGTTAGTAGAGCAGATCAGATCATATCATATCAAATCAAATCAATCCTTTTTTTTCCACCTTTTTTAACAAGTGAATGAGTGATATTAGAAACATATATTGATGGTTTGATCTAGACACCGGTTGCACTATAACATTTCTCCTTACTTTTTTGGAGGTCTCATGGGGTTGTTCATACGTTCATAACTAAGTTGGGCCTCTTTTTTTTTACCAAGCAAATGTAGAATGAAAACTTGTTATAAGTTCTATTGGTGGGGTCACTCTCTTCCATTCCAAACACAAAGTATGCAGAAAAATATAATGGCCAAAGGCAAAATCATGAATTGGTCCTACAAAAGGGAGCTAGTTAGGGCCCTCCATCTTACATCATATTATGACCCTTCACCTTATAATCTTTGGTGAAAGCACCATCTTAAGTAGAAGTACGTAAAAGTAGAATGAAGTTAGATGACATATCTACAAAAGGAGATACAGAGCAACTATCTTCAAATCCATTCGTATCCTTTGAGCTTGGATAACATGGAAATTACCCTCTTCCCTTTTTCTCAAGGTCAGCCACAAGCACATAACTTTAAATGACTCTCATAGTCTCATGTATTTCACTTATGTTATTAATTTATCTCCGTCTTTTTTTTACCAATATGGCACTGGTTGCACTTTTTAACAATTAATATCAATCTGATTAACTTTTTAGCTTTATAATACTTTTACTATGATATTTCTAATATCTACGTTAGTTATTCTTAGAATAATGAGTCATGCAAATGAGAATACCACACTTTGGTTGATCAAACCGTTTAAGACACCTATGATGATTATACAAAGAAAATCTTAAAATAAAATTATTAGTTAGAACAAGAGAGGATGTAGAAGTTTTAATAATGTGCGTAGTTCTTCACTTTTCACTTGTTCTTTATAGGAGTAGTTCTTTTTACGTTTATTTGACTGTGTATATAGATCGTTCATTTTTGTTCTTATACTAGTGGCTTTATTTTTTATTCTTATACAAGTGGCTTATTATGTGCAAAGATTATGTGATTTTATGCATAATATAGATCAAGTAAACAGTTTCAATCAACATTATAGAGAAGAAATTTAAACATTGAAGCTCAGGTTGAAAGTGAGAGAGAGAGAGAGACATAACTTACATTCTCATCTATCCATTTAGATTTTGTAAGGCTAAACTTTGAACATTATTCACCCTTAATGTATACTAAGTATATTGATAAATTTAAAAAGGAAATTATGTTGTGAAAGTACTATGTTTAAGATAAATCTTCCAAAGTAGTAGTAGTAGTAGAAGTTTTAAAATTCATCAATATGCTTCTAGAGATTAAGTGCTTAACATTAAATTTCGAAATTTGTTTATGCCTTGGTAATTATAATTAATGTAGTATGTGCATCCTAATGGTACTAAATCATGTTATTAAGTGATTTTTTGTAGTTTGTGGTATAAGATTTTTTTTTTGTGCAAAGTTTGTGGTATAAGATACATGACTAAATATATGGAGTACTTAATCCTACACCATTCGTCGACCCATCCAACTTTTGCAAGCCAAACCCTAAGAGGAAGAGCATATATAGCGGGTAAAAGTGCCCCCGAGTCCCCCCAACTAATATGTAAGTATGGAACAAATTAAATCCCAAATTCACATATAACCTCAAAGTCACGAGATGGGAATCACACCAGGCAACCACCAAGGCGGCACCAAGTTTGTTTGTCGAGTGTTGGGTTACTTAACAATTTAGCTGTATACACTAGACCTGGCAAATGGGTCATTCGGATCGGGTATGGGTCGGGTCATTTCGGGTTGGGTCAAGTTCGGGTCAAAAAGTTATCGGGTCAAGTTCGGGTCGGGTCGGGTCATTTCGGGTTTCGGGTTGAGTTCGGGTCAACTGATAATCGGGTCGAGTTTGGGTCGGGTCAATTCGGGTTGGGTCAGTTCGGGTCGGGTCAATTTCGGGTCGGGAATCGTTTTTTACTCAAGTGGCCTAGAAGATTTTGTATTCCAAGAATCTCAAAATATGTAAAATACTTACACTGTTACACATTACAAATTAATAAAAAAAATTAAGTTAGTTTGATTGCGGTTATTTTCTATTTTAGTTTGTCCAGGTCAAATCGTTAGCTTAAATAGATTCTGGTCATTTCAGGTATAAAGTAATTTTAGTTCGGGTCACTTTGGGTTTCGAGTCTATTTGGGTCAATTAATTCAAGTTAAAGGTCGGGTCACTTTGAGTATCGGGTCAACTTCGGGTCAGGAAAACTTCAGTCTCGGGTCACTTCGGGTCTCGGGTCAACTTCGGGTCGGGTCATTTCGGGTCAGGTCGTTTCGGGTCAAGTCATTTCGGGTTTCGGGTCAAGGTCGGGTCAATTCCACTTCGGGTCAGGTATGGGTCGGGTCGGGTTGATTTCGGGTTTCGGGTCAATTTCGGGTCACTGTTTTCGGGTCAATTTCGGGTCATGGGTCGGGTCATTCGGGTCGGGTCTGGGTCAAGATTGCCAGGTCTACTACTATACACTAATACACTTGTGCATTTATGGACCTAGCGAGTTATGTACGGAAACTAGAAAAAAACACAAGAAAATTCAAATAGGCAACCAACAATAGTGATGGATTCGTTCAAACAAAACAAAGAAAACAAAAAAAAAAGGGTTTTTCTACATTATGACCCTGTTTTTTCGCTTTTTCTACGTTGTGACATGCCTTTTTTGATTTTCTACGCTGTAACCCTAAATTACCAAACGTTTCTACGTTGTGACCTTGCCGTTAAGTTGACGTTAGTGTCTTCCGTTAAGTCAAATTAACCCTAACGATGTTAGGCTGTTAGGCTGTTTTGACCTAACCACCGCGCAAATCTACCCTCTCTCCACCACCTCACCGTCTTCTCCACCCTTCAATTCCTCGAAACCCTAATCGATCAGTCAACCAATTTTCCTTCAATGGAGTTCTTTACTCTTTAGGGTTTCCACCCCCTTTTCCTTGCCATCTCTCTGAGACCAACCTGCTCCGTATCTTATTCGATCTTACAATATTCGTTTTTATGGCGATCCGATACACCGTCTCTTTTTGCGCTACCATTGCCCAGAACATCGCTTCCTCAGCCAGTCACCGTGTTACGAATTACCGATGTATTCATGATTTTGTCACGAAACCTCGGGCAACGGCTGCGAACCCGAATTTGGATTCGCGTAAGAATTACCATTATTCTCATCGTAATAATAGCACGAATAATCAGCCGGATGTTCGGCGATCGAAGCCCAGTTCGAGTTCTAGAGGTAGGACGTCGTCGTTTAGTACTTTTGCTGCGGATTTGATTACTGGGAATAGTTGTAATAGTAGTCCAGTGGCTGCTGGGTTGATGTCGCTGGTGAATTCCGCCATTTTTGGAGGTTCAATTTCGAGTACAATGGGGTCAATGGGAGTTGCGCCGCTTCGGGGTGCTTTGATTATTCCGTTCTTGCAGGTTTCGAAATGGCTGCCGTGTAATGAGCCTGCGTTGATCCGATCGACGAGTAATGATGTAGATAAAGGAGGGACTTCGAAGGTTTTGGATGAGAGTATGATAAAGAAGAAGGTTGTTAATTTGACTTAACGGAAGACACTAACGTCAACTTAACGGCAGGGTCACAACGTAGAAACGTTTGGTAATTTAGGGTTACAGCGTAGAAAATCAAAAAAAGCATGTCACAACGTAGAAAAAGCGAAAAAACAGGGTCATAATGTAGAAAAACCCAAAAAAAAAAGTGACGTATAGCTCTTGTGAAATAGACGAGTATACAAGTATGTGGAGAAGGGGGCTGAAAAGTAAGTGCAGGTTAGTAGTATAGGAAGTAGTTGTTCTGTCAATTAATAGTTTGGCCCAAATCATGATTATGGATAGAATTTTGAGGGCTTAAGCTTAATGGCCATAATTAAGACCAAGACTATTGTGTAAGTAGTAGGAGTAGTAAGTAGTAACTCTCTTAACTGAAAGCTAATCAGCTTTGGTGCAGTGCGCCACTCATATTATATTATGCATGTCATTAATCTCATGATTTCTACTGTAATATATTGGTGAGGTGGGATTGAAATATTACATATGTATGTTGTCATATCTAATCACAAATTCGCAACACATGTCGCTTAGTTTAGTTAGTTAAAAGTTATAAAAGATGTCTATAAAATATTAAGAGTCTTAATATTAATATATTTAAGTATAACCTTAATATTAAATCAAACCTCGTCTATACTTATATAAGTGTAATATAAGAGGGATCGTTGAGAGCCTCGACACCCTCCCTATTTATTTACAAAAATAGGCCACCCAGCCTTACCTCTAAACTCATAATGTAGGGGGTATTAAGCTTAGACCTGGCAATCCTGACCCAGACCCGATAACCCGACCCGAATGACCCGACCCATGACCTAAAAACAGTGACCCGAAACCCGAATCCACCCAACCCGAAGTGGGTTTGACCCGATCTTGACCCAAAACCCGAAAAGACCCGACCCGAAAAGACCCGACCCAAAATGACCCGACCCGAAGTTGACCCGAGACCCAAATGACCCGACCCAAAGTTGACCCGAGACCCGAAATTGACCCGAGACCCGAAGTGACCCGTGAGTCCGAGACCCGAAGTTGACCCAACCTTTAACTTGAATTAATTGACCGAAATAGACTCGAAACCCAAAGTGACCCGAGCTAAAATTACCTTATACCTGAAATGACCAGAATCTATTTAAGCTAACGATTTGACCCAAAATAAAAAATAACCGCAATCAAACTAACTTAATTTTTTTTTTTAATTTGTAATGTGTAACAGTGTAAGTAATTTACATATTTTGAGCATTACTTTTCTCGAATTCTTCGGCCTTTTCTCTTTATAAGTTATTAAAATTCGTAAAAAGATTGAAATTTAACGACTATTCTACGGAGTTTGTCCGTAAGATTGAGAAAAAATTTACTAAAGCTTGAAATAAAAGTCATAATTCTCACAAGTCTAGAAAAAAAATAGTACAATAATAATGCGTACATAATGTTCAATACCAAATGAAATTACAAAATATTCTAAATAATTATACTCCAATATTCGACTCTTAAAATTGTTGACAATTAACACTTGGAGCCGCCGCCCAATCCACATAAGAACCAAAAAATCCATCATCCTCATTTGCTGCATAAATATAAAAACAATAATATAAGCAAAATACACTATAAATGCAAAAATAAAGAAACAAGAATGTACAAGCGGGAATATGAATATACATATTTAAAAAAAAAAAAAAAATACTTACTTTCAAAAGAGTACATCCAACTACGAGTTGTTATTAAAGCCTCCACATTTTCAGGAATTAATGAACTTTTCATTCAATACTCAACTCTCAATGCTGATAGTTGATTCGGAAGCGACGATTGTTAGGGGCACGGCCAAAATATCTCTAGCCAAATGAGAAAGGCCTTTATATCGATGCTCATTTTCTTTCCAAAAAGCTAATATGTCAAGCTCTGCTTTCCGATCTAGTTTAGGGTCCTCAAGGTAAACATCCAATATTGACCTCTCATCAAAAGAAGATGAGGCTTCTTTATCGTCATATTCCTAAATCCAACACAACAAGTCAACGACAAACCATAAAACATCAAAACAAAACAACATAAACTTTATAATCTTAATAACAACTACTTAACTTATAATCTTAAAAGAAACCAGTAATTGACAGAAAAAATAAAGTAAACACAAGAAAAACAGAAGGCAAATATGTAAAAAAAAAAACAGTCTAACTAATAGATTAAAAATGAAGGATAATCAAAAGGATTATAAGTGACAGACAAAATAAAGTAAACACAAGAAAAACAGAAGGCATAAGTTAACTGCCAAGTAGCCAGATATTATAACTAGTAATATCGCATAATGACCTGCTAACATTCTGCTAACATTGTTTAAACTCACATAAATTATGCTTGAATTGTTTGAAGTTCCTGAGAACGGCCAAAAGACATGCACAAATGTCAAAATAAAATAACAGAAGTACAATTACCGCAAAATAGTCGAATTTTCGCTTGCGGTTTCCAGTTGAAGTGCTGCTTATGAAGGCTCTGGAATTTGAGGCATGTGCCATATCAGTGTTGTTCAATGTCGATGATGTTCTAGTTTTGGCATATAGCTTATAAAATTTCTCCAACTTAAGATGGAGATCACTAACTCTCAAGGTAGCCTCAACATCTCCAAATATGCTTTCATAACAATACTTTAGCACTGATAATTTGGAACGAGGATCAAGAATCATAGCAAATGCAAATAACATGCCATAATCATCTTGTTCTGAGTTAAACCAATACTTATCAAACTTGCTCTTCATTTCTATTGCCATTGTCCTCAAAACATCATCATCATCGTGCTCCAACTCTATCAAAAGCATGAGAATCTTCTAAACATTCCCAAAATAAATATTTGAGGTAGGATACTCACTTCCCGAGAACATCTTAGTTATCTCATAGAAGGGTTCTAAAACATCTCGAATCTTCTCAAGAATATCCCACTCTTCAAAGGTAGGACACCATTTTTGAACTTCAGACATCTCCCTAAAAGCCTCACGATATAAGATAGCCCTATCAAGCATCATGTACGTGGAGTTCCACCTCGTAGGAACATCAAGCCACAATGATTTTGTTTCTTTTATCTTAGCTAGACTTACGCAAGATCGAAAAGTGTTTTTTCTTGTTTCAGAATATTTTACCTTCTTCACACAATGTCTTACTTTCTCAACTATATGTTCAATGACCTTAAGTCCATCTTTAACAATGAGATTTAATACATGTGCAGCACATTGTACATGAAAAAACTCACCATTATACAACAAAGCATCTCGTGCAAGTAGAGTTTCCTTCAAATAATCTTGCATTCTATCATTACTAGAGGCATTGTCTAATGTGAAGCAAAAAATCTTATCATCAATACCCCAATCTTGAAGCATGGACAACACAGCAGCATACATGGTCTTTCCGATGTGTGGTGAATCAATATGACTAAAGTTAAGCACTGTACTAATTAATTTCCAATTATCATCTACATAGTGAGCTGTCAGACAAATATTCCTCAGTTTGACAAGAGGTCCACATATCACATGTTAATGAGATACGACTAGAGACTTTACTAAGTGTTTCCTTTAACTGACCCTTCAAAATTTTATGCATTTTTAAACAATCAGCTTTAGCAGTATTCCTACAAATGAATTTTACATCATCACTTAAATATGCATGAATTTCTCTATTACCATCATGCTCAACCCAAGAGAAAGCATACCCATGTTTTATTATGGCTTTAGCTACCAAATTTCTGTACACAATTTGGTTAAAGATTTTACCTTTGTTTGAACCGTTTCCTCCTTGGTTTTTCAAATATTTCTCATATGCACTGCATTTTCTTAGATGTCTTTGCATATTTTTTGTTCCATAATGGGGGTCGGTTATGAAGGATGCTTTTTGGCAATGTTTTCAAATTGACCTCTGCTTTCCATCACTAGATTCCGTCTTGTCAAGCGTGAGGAATTCCTGCCAAACTAGACTCTGTTTCTTTTCTACAGCTTGAAATCCAGATTCCATAGTGCTCACATTATTGTATTGAACTGTAACTTTAGGATCACCAGCTTCTTCCTCTTGTGTACAAACATTGGCTACTTCCTCTTGTGTACGAACATTGGCTTCTTCCTCTTGTGTACGAACATTGGCTTCTTCCTCTTGTGTACGAACATTGGCTTCTTCCTCTTGTGTACGAACATTGGCTTCTTCCTCTGGTGTACACTCATCCTCTGGTGAAAAAATAGGCTCGTCGTAAATAATATGATCATCCATTGCTGCAAAAAAAGCAAGAATAATATCATGGTTAAGAAATTATCAAAGCTGAGAGTGTAGGGTGGAAATCTGAGAGGCTGGTATTATTAATGATGTCCAAGCTAAGATAAATTTTAGCAAATGGTAAACAAAATCATCTTCCTGAAATTACAGTTTAGTAAAAAAAATCTGAGAAGGTGGAAATTTTCTGCAATTACAGTTTAGTAAACAAAATCATCTTCCTCATCCCTTCAATTCTTTCATTAATGATGTCCAAGCTAAGATAAATTTTAGCAAATGGTACATGATTACTAAGTTACTAATTGTAATTAAGTTACTAATTGTAATAAAAGAGCATTTTACATGTTCAACTCTACAGTCTACACTATATGTGGGAATGGCCCTGATAGGCCTGAATCAATTCCACATTTGTTCTTTCAATATTGTTACAAAGCTCAGTTAATGCAGCAGAACAAGCTATGGCTTCGACTGAATGCAGACCACTAACTTCAGTAGAGTGTTCAGATGGACTACTTTAGGAGCAAATGAGCAAACAATTTCAGATATAGGTATAGTTCTTTTGATATTAGTGGTTATTAATAGGTTGTGTTTCTGCTAGTTTTTGTTAGCCTTGGGGAAGGGGGTTTTGCCAAGTGAAATCATGATAGTGAGTGACTCCACCCCACCCACTCCACAACAACCAGAAATTCACCATCCCCATTTATAATTCTTCTCAATTTGTCACAGACACAATGTATCAATCCAAAACAGCACTCAATTTTGCAATTAGTATTATTGTCAGTTTTCACACATAATGAAATAAACCAAAAATAGAAACTAAGAAAAATCAAATTTCAAAAGGCCATTCCAAAAATGGAAACTTTTTTACCTGGAGGAGTTGGGGTTGATCCAGCGGCAGGTGAAGAAGATGGAGATGGGGCTTGGGCTAAATCTGAACAAAAAGGTACAAAATTAACAAATAATTAATCACATATTCATAAGTATTCAAAAATTAATCAATAATACAAATCCAATAATACGAGTAATTGGACTATAGGATTGCAAATCAACAGTATATCCACACTAGTGACACTACTACTACCTGAGTCATCAATTGCATAGCAAAATCCAATAACATTTAAAATCCAAAACATCGAATTTTACAAGAACAATGTTGATACTAATTGAATAATTCGATTGCAAATTTAACAGTAATAAAGAAGGGGAAGATAGAAAGAGGGAAACCTTGCCTTGCCGAAGCGCTTGAGATCAGATGAGGAAGATTAGAGAAGTCAGAACTCAGAAGAGTGAAAGACAAAAGAGAGTGAAAAGTTGAAAACAGCTGAGGATTGAGGAAGATTTAGGACTTTAGGGTTTTTTTTTTTTTTTTTTTTTTTTTTTCCTTATTGTTTTTTTTTTTTTTGTTTTTTGTATTTTAGAAATTACTAAATTAGTCACCTTACTTTTACTCTTGAAAATTTGGAGGGAGTATTCCCGCTAATAATTTTGGAGTTTTAGCCATTTGGGGGGAAGAATTTCCCACAATTTAAATGTTTTATTTTTGTTTCCCTCTTAAATTTTCACTTTTAAGTTGTAACTTTGTTAAAATTGAAATTTTAAAATTTTATAATTGATCAACAAGTGTGTTCGTAATCTTATATCCGAATATGAGAATATTTCAATTCATTAATAATACACACGTTTTTGTTTGTTGACACGTTTTGACTAAAAAAACGTATCAACTAAAAAGAAACGGAGGAAGTATCATATTGTGTTGTGCACTAATTACCCAACACTCAGTCATTATAAGTTTATCACTGAATAAATTTTTGTTTTTATATATATAAACATCAATATATAATGCACGATAATGATCTTATATTCAATCAAAAAGTAATATTCATTTATTACATTAGTTTAGTTGTTTAATTAAGTAGTAGATAGATACAAGCATATCTGCATAACTGCAATACTTCATAATTCATTAGTTCATAATACACTAATAGTGATGAGACATCCTATGAAGTAATTTAGACCGGAGAGTCTGAGCTATTAAGTAGCCCGAAAAAGGTTTGATCTAAACTTATCAAGTTTGAATTTGAGATCAAATTACCTTGAATAGGAAAAACCTTGTTATGAGTTTCGTTTGAAAAAAATTAATTGGAATCGGATAGGTTTACAGTAATGTTGTTAATCAACTTTATAATAAAGTTTTGTGTCGTTTTCCACCCTTATGTTTAAGTACTTGATCACATTTACTATTATACATTAAAGCATGTAATTTTAAGAACTAATTACAACCGAGTTTAAGTTGACTTGTTTGAATTCCTAATTAACAATAAAATTTTTATCAAACGAAGCATGTTATAACTTATTTTTGATTGAATCGGTCACAAAAATTAAATTGAGTATATGTTTCAGGAGATCCTGAAATTGATATTCAATCCAAACACCAAAAAAAAAACAAGGTCAATAAAAGTGTAACAATTACTATATGAGTATATTCCATGAAAAAAGAAACCTTAATAAATATAGTGAGTTCCTCGTCAAAAAATAAATTAATATATATACAGAGTTGAATTTAACCCAATGCATCGACCCGAATATGACCCGACCCGAAGTTGACCCGAAATTTGAACCCGATAATTGACCCGACCCGAACTCGACCCGACCCGACTTTGACCCAAATTGCTGACCCGATACCCGACCCGACACGATTATCTGTCGACCCGAAATCAACCCGAAACCCGAAGTGACCCGACCCGACCCGAACTTGATCCGATAACTATTTGACCCAAACTTGATCCGACCCATACCCGACCCGAATGACCCATTTGCCAGGTATTTAAGCTAAGCAAAAAGTTATAAATATTTTGTAAAATAGGTAAAATGTCAAATAGGAATATAATTCCTAAAAGTCCTAGTGCCCATTGCCCAATCTGTTTCGAAATGAATTTTAATTCTCAATTTAAATATTGGTCAAATAATAATCCTTAATATCTAATCGTATTATTATTGTTGTTAATGCCAAGCCTTTCATGACGTGGAATATGGTTTTAAGTTGTGTGTACTTTATGTGTGCTACTATGGTTTGCATGTTTGTTTTCCACCTTGTGTTAATCAGTACCAATTAACATGCAATCACTCGTTATAAGACTATGGACAAATTAGGTTAAAATCCCGTGCATTGTACGGTTGTTAAATATTTTTGACAATAATATTATAAAATATAAAGTATATAAAAGATATGTAGAAATATTTCATTTGGGTATATATGGAATATGATTGTCAAACCCAAAAAAAAAGATCATAAGGTATAAATAGTTTACTTAAACTTAAAGATTTTGTGCAAAAAAAAATAATCCGAAAAAGACGGGAAAATTTTTCAAAGATAATAACAAGTGTCATTGGTTATTCGCTTTTAATGGCTTACATATATTATAATTCGGACTCTTAAATATAGTGATCACCTTTTATATATTAAATCTCATGTGCTATATTAATCAGCTTTAGGCCTTGTTTGGTTGACATGGGAATTAAATTTCCATAGAAAACTGCATTTTATGGGAAGTTATTTCCCTAATGAAATTCCTACAAAACTTCCTAAATTTGTTTGGTTGGCAATATAGGAACTTAGAAATCCCATGAATTTTGATTAACCTAGGGAGGCTAGGTAATTTACTTTCCTTGTTTTGTGGGAAGTTGAAATTCCCATGAATTTCTACTTCCCTTATTTTTGCTTTTTTGTGTCAACTAAATAACTCCTCAATTTATCAAATCCCATGAATTTCCACTTCTCATTTTATGTTGTCAACCAAACAAGACCTTAATATATTAGTCTATTTAAGATGTTAATTTGATGATCATATGGTAATTTAATAGTCTCTTTCATTTAGTTGTCCCTTTTATAGAATCTAGTAACAATTTATAAGTCTCCCTTTAAAGAATACTTAGTAGTTCTCTACTTGTCCCTCTCATGTCCTTTCAAATTAACCTAATTCACAATATTGTTAAAGACATTCACACGTGTCAAGCTGTTGGTTATTTAACAAGCCTATAATTTGGCGACTTCATAAAAAGAATTTTTTGAGTTAGATGATTGAAAATTAGATTTGATGAGAGTTGAAAAGATTTTTGATATGTAATTTGCAATTTGGTTAAGTAGACTCTAGTGTCTAAAAAATGTAAACTTATAAGAACTTTTTAACTCAAACTTAGAGTTTTGTGGTTGTCTTCAAAGAGTCTTTACTTGTAAGTCATCATTTCATGCATCATCAAGTCTAAATTCATGAATAACTAAGGAAATTTTTACAAATAAGAAATTTATGCATCTATCGTTTCCTTTATCATAACATTTCATTTTAGAGTCTTAATTAGATTTCATTTTGCAGTTAAAGTCTATCTCCATAAGAATCTAGATAGGTGATCATGATAGGGGTTCATTTTGTTCATAACAAGTGTTCATGCATTATTAGAAGTCAAATACTCTTAAGAGTTGTTTACATCTAAAGTTTCATACATCCGAAGATCCATTTTCATCCTTAAGTTAGTTTCCATCCCTAGATCACTCTATAACCCCCCCCCCCTCCCCTATAATATCCCATAGTTATATAATAAAGCAAGTCTCGATTTATCACCATGATAAAAAAAATTGTAAATTAAGCAACAATCTTGTAATAAAGTAACCAAAGATATCCGGTTAGTAAAACGTATTTGCAAATTGTAGTGATACAAATGTAGACCCAACATTTAACTACGTATAACAACTTATTATGAAAATGTCATGTACTCATGTCGACCGGGTTTGTTTGTTTACTTAGCTACTTAATTATCACTTAATTTGCAATCCTAATTATTCAAGGTGATAACCTTAGATTTTGCTCCACTTAAAATATACTTGTATATCTTTTTCTTTTGTGTTTTTCTTTTCACAAGTGGTCAATTCAAAACCCAAATTTTTATTTTTATTTTTTCATTTTCAAAAACCTAGGCCCAATCTATCTCAATGATAAGTCAGTATTCATTCATGCAAACTCAACTCATGCATTTGTACTTATGTTGCATCATATTCATGGCCTATCATTCGACCTCATTATCTAAGTCCAATCCCTCTAGTTCACTATCCACATTTCACATAGTTCCAAGCATGTATCATTCATGCATCGACCATATCTAAGTGTACATGGCCTACATGCCCACTCTCTCTTTATAATTCTTTTAGCCCCACATTATTTCTTAATCTTCAAGTATTACAAGCACAAATTTCTCAAGTTGCATGACATTATCAACCTGAAAACTTAGCAATTACTACATTACACGAAATGTTACTGGTGTTAAATTATGACAAGCAATGGTTAAATTTTACATGTTGGTCATAAAATGCATCATAGCAACAAATAATACACAGGATTTAGTACAAATATCAAGTTTTAATTCTCCCCAAAGATCTTATACACTCAAAAGACATCAGCCTTGTTAACAAGAATGTCGTCTTGCTCATCATGATCAGAGTCTGAAGACTCTGAAGTCTGAACTACAGCGAAAGTATCTACCAATTAAGCTACAGTGTTACACTAGATACAATATGGGAGGTAAAAGACAGTAGATCAGAAACGATTCCTAAGGTTGTAAAAGGCTTTTTTTTTCTCTCTCTATAGACATGGCAGGAAACTGGCATAAGAAAATCTTTACAGAATACCTAGTCCAGAATGATTAATAGTCAGTTGGAAGAAGTAAAATTATGAACAAGTCCTAAAGCAGGCCAGTTGGAAGAAATACATCAGACCTGCATGTTGTTAGCAACGTCAGAGCCCTGACTTAGTACAGCTTCATAGCATAGCATAACAATATAGGGAGGGGCCTAAGGCAATATATTGTGTAGCTAACAAACTTAATCCCATAATTGTGTAATTAAGCTTTTTAGCTTAATGTAAACAATGTAAGTATCTCTTGGAGACTAATAATAAGAATTTAATACCCAATTTGTATACAGATACTTCCTCAAGCATGATGAAGATATTCTTCCATGAACAAAAACTCTGTCCTACTTGTTTCTTCTCAAGAAAATCACGTCAGCCTGAACTCATGATTGCATAAAAAGTTAATGACTAATCCACTAGTTTCTAATAACTAATCCACTAGTTTCTCATGACCTGTAGAAACTCTAATAATCGTCGGCAAGGTATCTAGTAGATGTCCCACAGAAGATCAAGACAGGACACAAAATGTGTCATATTCACGCATCAATTTAGGCAAGTGAAGACAAGGCAAGGACATAATGTATCATATTTACACATTAATTAGGGACATTAACTAGAGAAGCCAAAGATGAGTTTTCTTCAAGTTCATTCACCATCTTGCCTGTCAAACAATTTGAGAATGGAGTATGGAGCCCAATTTCTGATAATACTGTTAAAAATTCTGAGCTCTTAAAATGACTCTTATCAGCTTATTGGTGCAAGGCTTTATAAAGGCTCTAAGACATTTAGCTTTTAGACATCAGTGTGGTCAATACAATCTTATTATAGCTAATTATAAAAGAAAA